CCCCCTTCCCATCCCCCCCCCCCCATCCCCCTTAAGGTACGTCTACACTGCAGCCCCCAGCCCCTCTGGGTCCGGTCCCCATGACCTGCCCCACTCCAATTGCCCTAGGCCTCCCCACCCCTCTAGGCCCGGCCCCCAAGTCCCTGCCCCCCCACCCCCGGGGGCGCCCAGCCGTACCAGGTGCCGGACGTAGCTCCCAGGCCGCAGCTCCCGCACGCGGCGCCCGGTGCTGGTGTCGATCCAGGACTCGGCGCCGTAGATCAGGGTGATGGGCAGTTCCCGTGGGAGCAGGTGGATCCGCTCCAGCATGGGCCGGCGCGCCCAGCCCAGCGCCTGCGTCATCGCTTTGAACGCCGTCTCGCCACTGGGGGCAGGGGGAGGGGTGAGTGCTCCCTGGACGCCTGGGTCCCTCACCAGTCCGCGGCTCCCTGCCAATACCCCACCCCCGAACACCTGGGTCCCTCGCCCGCTCCATGTCTCCCTCCCAATATCCCACCCCCTAACCCCCAGACGCCTGGGTCCCTCGCCGGTCTGCGTCTCCCTCCCAATACCTCACTCCCAACCCCTCGGACACCCGGGTCCCTCGCCCGGTCTGCATCTCCCTGCCAATATCCCACCCTAACCCCCTTGACGCCCGGGTCCCTCACAAACCACCCCTCACCACGATCACCCTCTGTGTCCCCATTCCCCCTCCCTAGGCGTGGTGTCCCGGACACCTGGGTCCCATTCCCCCTGGCGCTGGAGCCTGTGGGTGAGTTCCCCGCACTGGCATCCTGGATGCCTGGGTCCCATCCCCTCCCTGAGGCCCGGGAGCCCGGTGGTGACCCTGGACCCCCCGCCCCTCACCTGGGTGCCTGGGCATTGCAGTGGTAGATGTACTCCGAGATGGTGTCGTCCTCAAAGAACTCCGCAAATTTCTGCTTGAAGTCAGGACGGAAGCGCTGGACGAGGCCAGGGCCTGGACAGAGGGATGCGGAGACAGACAGACATCCCGTTACGTGGGTGCGGGAGGAGGTGTGGAGGGGGCCCTGCCCCCCCCCAGTCCCACCCCCTGCCCCTAGTTACCCCCAAAATAACTCACATCCCCAGCCCCATTCATCCCCCTCCACAGCCCTTCTACCCTGCCCCCCAGACCGTCCTGCCCCCTGGTGACTCACCCCAGGGCCCGGCGACTCTCAGCACAGCCAGGGGGTTGGAGCGCCCCAGGACAGCCGCCATGGCCTTCACCCAGGTTGGGGGGGGTCGGATCTGGCTGGGGTCGGTGGGGCGCACGGGGAAGCCCCAGGGGTCCACTAGGATGAGGTGCTTCACCCTGCGCCAGGCCAGGGGGGCAGCATCAGAAAGGGTGAGAGATGGACGCACAGACACCCCCACAAGGCAACGCACACCCCCCTCCCCCGAGATTCCCCCATCCCACAGACAGAGACACCCTCCGACTTAACTCCCACCCCCCAAACACCACCCTGCCCCCACCTCTGTCCTCTGAGCCCCGCGGGATCCTGGCAGGGATGGAGAGGGGTGGACGGGAGAGCAAAGGGCTAAACGGGGACCAGGCAGTAGGGGTAGGGGAGAGATGGGGGGGTAGCGAGGAGGGACGGGGCAAGCAGCGGGGCAGGGCATGCATGGGGCAGGGGTCTCTCACCTCTCGGGGTACGTCAGGCTGGGGGAGGGGCAGGAAGTGGGGGCTGGGCCAGGGGGGGTTCACCTCTCGGGGTATGTCAGGCTGTAGGATCAGGGGGATGGGCTGGGGGAGGGGCAGGTAGCAGGGGCCAGGCTGTGGGGGCCGGGGGGGGGTGTGGGTCTCTCCCCTCTCGGGGTACGTCAGGCTGTAGGATTGGAGGGGCAGGAGGGGTTGGGGGAGGGGCAGGTAGAAGGGGCCGGGCGGGGGGGGGGGCGTCGTCGTCACCGTC